GAGGTGGGAGGGGGGGTTCAAGAGCAGAGTGGAGAGGAAATTATAACAATACTAGGAAATCTGAATGTAGAATTCCCCATCTCTTTAAAGAAGGCACAGCAACTTTCTGCAAAAATAAATGGAAGGAGAGAAATTACATACATTTTGGTGTGACCGGAAATGTGAGGAGGATGTTGTTCGTAAAAGGAAAGGTATCAAAAACGCAAGCATACAGTTTTACGAGGCTTTCAGTGCCCTCTTCAGGACCTTTCACATTTGTATCTTTCAGCAAAATATATGTGGTTTTTCATACTTGAACCAAATCTGCTACTCGTATATTAAGTTAAATTATTTTCTTTCTTTCTTTCTTTCTTTCTTTCTTTCCCTTTTCGTCCTTGCCAAGGTTTCCCTTTCTCTCAGTGCTTGTTTTATAGTGAACAAACAGCTTAAAACTTGATCACGTAATCATTCAATAAAAACAAAAACTTAATAGATGCTGGGGGAGAAGTCCAGTTGTGGACATGACAATCCCTGCCCGAGTCCGTAAAGTGTGCCGTCACTCCCCCCCCCTACCCAGCCAGTGAAGAACAATAAAGCTATCTTTCTCCATCTCGTCCAAGGCTCATTACGCTCGACATTCCGCTGACACTGACAAATCTACCGTCCGCGACAGGCAGATAACGTGAGAGGGTGAGCACGCTGAAGGGGCCCCATCTCCAGGGAAAAGTGGGCCGTCCGGGGATTGCTGTCCTCTACGCCTTGCTGCCTTCATAGGCACAAAGACTCATCATAATCACCCGCATCTACGGGGCGGAGTCGGCGTAATATAATGCCCCACCGCAAACGCCAGCAATAGGCCTAAGATATCCCTCACTGGTAATGCTTATTGCGATTTCAGTGAAATAGAAGGCACACTGATATTGGCCTGCGCAAGAGAGGAGAATGTCGTGCATTATTTCTATCTCTAAATTAAAGGTTTATTTACGACAAAGAGAAATATAGGGCCAGTGACCTTTGTTTAGCTTCTCAAATGCAGCAGTCAAAGGGTAACTTATGACAGTCAGACGGCAAGCGTCAGTAGCCCTCCAACCGCTGGCCTCGCTTCCAATGTAATTCCGGGTTAGCCAATAGAATAGGGAGCTGGAGAAACCGTGTCACGCTAGCTTGGTCTGTGCAATTTTTACGCACAGGCTGCCCGTCAAAGCGTGGAGCCTACCACTAGAAGTATAGGCCAACTGAACAGATCTGGGATATCAGCTGTGTGTTTGGTATTTTCACAGCAAGCCTGTCAACGGGGGATGCCAGAAAACGAACGTTCATATTGGGAAAGTGGCGCTCAGGTGAAATCTACAAGCTTTGTGCAGGTAAAACTAAGTTGACAGGGCTTAATTAAGGGGCAAGTGAATTCACATCTTCACCTCGCGGACGTCACGGTACGACATAGGCAAGGTCGGAAGAACGCCAGAATTAAGGGAGGACGTTAACGAAAACTGGGTACTGAAATAGGCCCTAGGAAACACATTGCGTACCGTAGTTCCTCCGCGTGAGTTGAACGCCCTATACGTACAGCAAATTGTACGAAGAACTGAATCTGTCATCATAAAACCGCAACAAAACTCTTGGGCCGTGTCGAGCGATCATCATTATTATAGTCAACCAAGACTTTCTGAGCCCAGTTTTGAGTCGAGAGGATTGTCTGCTATTTTAATCATGTTGGGATTGTAGGCAGGCAAAACATAAGCCGGTGATTTGCAAAAACACTAACCGTACCAAAAGACCATTCGGTGCCGTACTGGCTGTAGGCTGCCTAGCTCAGCCACCGGCCCCACCACACAGCCAGGCTGTTCGTCTGACACAGAGAGCACCGTCATACAGCCTGAGACCATCTACTTCTCTACGGACACCCGGCCATGCTAGCGTAAACTTTTTATCATCACCTATATTAAATGGATATTCAGATTCACTGTGCGTTTGCATCACCGGACAAAATAGTTATGACTGGCAGTGGGATCATAAACTCTACTCCCTTCGTCTACTAAAGTCGGGGAGAGAAAATACTCCATTTTATTCCACTGTAACTGGCTCTATCATAAGAATCACATAAGCATCGTTATTCGTCTCCAAGAATCCGTGCTATCGTATGGTTTAACAGTAAGCGTTTTTTGGAGAAATACGCATTCAGTTCCAAGTAAACGTGAACCACGGAACGCCATCAAGAGGGACACCCACTCTTTCCGAGTGCCCAACACGACACAAACACAGAGGCACTGACCAGCGACGCCGCTGTTAATATGGCGCATTCAACGGCGCCTTATACGGGATACCCTTCTTATAACGGACACTGCAACACGGGGACTGGTACAGCACTTAGTTCTCCGCCAGCCGCCTCACAGGTACGATACAATTCTTATCTTCCACCTCTTTCCCTTCATTTTCCACAAACAGTGCAATTTTTCTCCGACTGTCAAAAGTTAGGAAAATTTGCATCAATCTGACTATTAATTGTAGTCGAAATTTCGACCTAAATTTCTTGGAAAATTACAAGAGAAAAAATAAAAAATAAATTATAAATAAAATTTACCCATTATTATCTCCAACAAATAGATACATGAAGCCATTGACTGTAGAATACCGTTTATTATGAATCCACTTTAAGTATCAGAAGAAAATTTTAAAAAAATGTTTTAATTTCTCTGGCCAAACTAAATATTTTTTAGTTAGCCATTGGCAGTATTTCCACGTTAGCATGTTAAGGTCCAGCTTTAGGGTTAGGTAACCGGTCAACAATAGGTCAACGTATTTTCTACAGTAGCCTCTGGACATTCACATCTGTGCAAGAATGTCATCATAAAGTAATTAATCTTCAAAATACTTGGCGACAACGCATTTTCTCTCTTTCTCCACCCTTTTCAGAGCTTAACGTATGTGTCTTTTTTTATTGGGAACTGAATTTCCTTTCTGTTTAGGCAACTGATGGACGTGATTGTTCTTCAAATGTTTACGTGCAGGGATTACTTAATGGAAACATATGGTCATTTATATATAATTTAATGCAAATTTAGTCATAAACGCTAGTCGTCTATACGAGGCCCTGGCTGGTTTGTTTTTACCGACACGGATAGATAAATTGATCATTCACATGAAGACATTTAGGTGTATGGGTTTTTATTAAATAATTCAATACACACACACATGCACACGTACACACGTGTACATGTATGCACGCACGCACGCAAGCAAACACACACACAAAGAAAAAGATTTCGAGAGAGAGGACGACGACCATCTTTTAAACAGCCTATACAAATTATTCCTACTAGTCTTGATACCCACTTGCAAAATAACAGGAGAGAACACCCGGCTATTCAACACGCATGGCTTTTTCATAAACGGCACTATGCATGCGTCCGCCATAACCGCCATGAAGTCGGACATGTAACATGTTAAAAAACAATGAAATCAACAACATGATATGAATGCTTCATCACTCTTCACGTGCTGCAGTGTCCAGGTGTTGACATGGCAACCGGGCCGAGTTGAATTGAAGATAAAAATCGATGTATTTTGCAGCCGACATAGAGTGGAGGAAAGGGTCACGGATCCGGAGTGGTTTAGCCGGTTTGACCCAATTGCTATAAAAATACTTTAAACTTCAAATTCTGTCCTTTGGACGATAAATCAGTTTCGTGGTCTTCCTGTATGAAAAATTCCCGCTAATATCTTCTACTGTGGTGGAAGGTAAAGGTGGGATCATGGTGCTGTCATGTTGTGCAGAGAGAGAGAGAGAGAGAGAGAGAAAGAGCTAGGATACAAGATCTTGGATCCCAAAAGAGAGAGAGAAAGAGAGGGAGAGAGAGAGAGAGAGAGAGAGAGAGAAATAACAAAATTGTGTGCAATTCAAGTAGGTGTAAATCAGTTATTCGACTAATACGTATATTGCAACATTCAAAATGTTTTGTGTAGGCTATATTTCAAATCGGTTTAAATAAATCTACACGTTCACATTCTAATAATGTGAAAAAATTGTTGATGGCAGTCTAAATTTCTACCAAGAGAGAAAAATATCTGCAGGCTCGTAAAAAAACCCATTGTTTACCTATCTCATCAGTTTATTTCTACCAGTATTATACTGGTTGTGCACTGTAAGTATGCATGCGGAAAAGGGCTGAAAAATATAAAAAAAGTGAGTGATACTTTTTCAATAATGTTATTTAGGTCATGGTTTGTGGTTCTGATCAGCAGAACAGTATAACACTACAGAACTAGAATTTAGGTGAGAAATTAAGATATAAGACTCATAAAGAATCTAAGAAACTATAAGAACGAAGCGTCACTACCCGTAGTAGCATGAACGAGTTATAACCCACGTATTGGTATAACTATTGTATCTGTTTACCTGTATTACAGCGCAGAAAACCTTCGCCAGCATTTTAAAATTAAAAATTAAAAACCTCTGCATATCATGTTTTTAAAGACCTGGGTCAAATAAGGATGCATTATAAAGTTGTTACAACCTGAAAAAGGTAGTAACTTCATTATGTTAACATTAAATGAATTATATTTCATTAAAATTATGATGGAAGTTTTATGCAGTTAAGGTGTGTTGACATTTATCATAATTCTTTTAACGATAGATATTGTTAAAACTAGTGTAATAGGATTAGCAGTTAGCAGAATTGAATATTGTTGTCAGATTTTATGTTGATGTTATATTTTACATATTCTAGTGCAGTTTTCTCAAATGACCGATCCCTGTATATCTTGGTAACTTACCCATTATTATTGGAATGAACTTTTTGTATAGATAAAAATCCAACTTAAAACTTAATTTAAACTTCGCTTAAATCATTTTGTAGCCAACCTAACATAAATCTTGCTTTAATAATTTTTGTACCCAGTAATATCGGCAACAAAACTGATATATATTTCACACTGTTTAAGATTTTGAAAAATGTTAATTTTTAGGAAAAATCGTTTATGTACTCGTAGAAGACACCATAGACCTTTCAATGATCTTTTCCAGCTTACCTTCTCAATTTTATTACACAACAAAACTCAACCTAATTACATATCGTCTCGCCAAAATGGCCGTAATAAGCTCACTTCACAGTTGGATATAGCTATGAAATTACAAAACAAGGGCTAATTCTAAAATACATATAGGAGCATATCAGAGACTGAGATATTCAACGAATTGTACCGTGTGGTCTGAAAGTTCCACAGAATTGTGTTGTTCACAAAGAAACTTTAGCAACAGTCTTATGTGCCGTATACGTCTGTTGTATGATTTAGAGCCAAGCGCTGACCTGATATTTGGCTTGGAATGAATTATGAATTATGACCTTTGACCCGCCTTCTCTGTCTGTGAGGAAGAGAGGCAGTTCTTCCAGTGTTAGAGTCTATGATCTTTCTCCCCCACCCCTTCATAATACATTGTTGTACGATGCAGTTAACAAAACCAGCATATATATGCATTTAAACTTGTAAAGAAATTCAAATATTTTTACCGGACTAATACGAGCGATGATCCATTGTATCATTATTAAGCAAAAAAATCAAACAAATGGCTCAGCAAGCAGGCTAAAACATGCTTGACCTTGACTAAACTAGTGACCAGAATGAGGTTTCTACACCTAATAAGGTACTGAGAAAAAAAGAATTGTTAACTTTACACAACCATTGAATTATAGGACATATTGAAACCACACATCTCCACACGACACACACGCACACAAACACACGTACGCACAAACGTACGACGCTGCCTTGGGATATATTTTATAAAAAATTCCTGTGTTGAGCCTTGGACAATTTACAGCTGACTGTCAAATGTTTTCCTGGAGGAAGTTCAACCAAAGACAAATGCTGAACCAGTTTATTCGGAAGAGAACCCTACGTTTTACTCATGAGGTGAATTCATCCACATCTTAGCCAAAAGAATTAGAGCAAACTTTGTCTGGTTATGCTCGACATTTCTTTAAAAAAAGTATCATTGCATATTTTAAGGGTATGGTAATAGGCAAACAGGGTAACGGCGGCTTTTGATCACACTGATAACGCTTATCGTATCACTTTACTGTTCCACCTCCGTTGCGTCAAAGCCCGCGATTTCATAAAGAACAGTTCCCTTCCTAGTTTTTTGGCAGAGTTGCCAGCAGTATAGCTATCTAAATCAGTAGACATATTGTTTATCACGTTACTATCAAAATCAATCGTGCCTTGTTACACGTAGCTAATATAAACCAACGGTGAGAATGACACGCAGTATATGGAATGAATTTTGAAGCGGAAAAAAATCGAAAAAAAAAACTTAATTACCGGAAAAATTCTCAGTCCTTAATTTGAACACTCGAAGTCAAAGCTGTCCCGGGGCAAGCCACAAGTATCACAAGAGATTTATTTCGAAAGGCCTCAAGCCACATTATCCCCGATCTGCGACACATTCTCAGTGTAATGATATATTGAATACCTCATAAAGGATACACGTATTGAAGTTCAATCCCGTTAAAGTGAACATCTCATTTCCAGCCAAAGCATTACGTCAGTTTGAACAATTTTGTTAAGGTCGGTCTCGCCACGCGTTGATAAAAACGAAGACTATCTTACATATGCTTTGGCGAGCTTTTAACCAAATAAGCTACTAGTACATTAACCAAACATTAACGCAATTTATCCCGCAAAAATTGGAGCAATTATAGCAAGCTTATGTTTGGGAAAATAGATATAAATCGGTAAGACACAATGATTCTCACATCATTACCGCCACTAGATGCTCCAAACGTGGCGCCAGAGGAGACATTTCAGTGTTCGTTAGAGCTGCCTGATGTCCCTGGTGTTTTTAGCGTGACAAGGAGCAAGTCTCCAGCGCCGTGGACATGGCTGCGGTGACATCAGCCGGATTTATAAAGCGGATCTGTGCTGGTTGAAGACCAGTTAAATGTCATGAGATCACAAAGGCTTCGGTGAACATGGCACGCTGTGATACACGTTTTTATTAAAAGTTGGTTGTTATTATTCTAGTTAAATTATTTTAGCTAACTTAATTTTTTGGGAAGACTATGCACTCGAGTCAAGTAAATAAACGTTTTTTTCTAGGTCAAAACTAAACCAGTTTTAGGCTAGTCCAGGACTGAAACCAGTTTTATGCTAGGCCAGAACTAAAGCAGGTTTAAGCTATGCTAGGACTAAACCAGTTTTAGCTAGACCAGGACAGAAACCATCTTTAAGCCAGACCAGAACTAAAGCAGTTTTAAGTTATGTTTGGACTAAACCAGTTTTAAGCTAGACCAGGACATGGACCAGCTTTAAGCCAGTCAGGACTAAAGGAGTTGTAAGCAATGATAGGACCAAGCCAGCTTTAAGCTAGGCCAGGACTAAACCACTTAAACTAGAC